AGCTAACGTGTTATGAAGCAGATATGACTAATTCAAAGATGAGAAAGATGGGCATCTGATTCTTGAAAGAATGTAAAATAATTAGGAAGAACTTTCTTTTCAAAGAAACGAAATATTAAAGATGAACAATATCAATCATTCCATATTTGCACGCGAAAAAAATGGAATTATTGACTCTAATTGGAACTTAAGACCATAATACAAATTTTAAATTCACACGGGTTGTTTGCAGATCAGATATCCATAAAAACAAACCATAAATAACTGATACTGTACCTTCACTAAATCTTAACAAGCAACTAATTCCATTATGATCAACCCATATAAAGAAATATGAAGAGGATTCAGCAACTAAATCTATACCTGAACTTCAGTACCACTATTTTTTTGTCGTAGAGGTCGCATTAGAAGCCCAATAAACTGAGCACGTTCACTGAAAACTGGGCTACCTTCCATTCCTGTAAGAATCTGAGTTAGAATTTTATCAGAGCAAACAATAAACAAAAGGAGGAAGGGGGACAATTCTTTGTGACTAGTTGTCCGCACCAGGAAGGCACCTAATATCAGCCATCAATAAAGATCTCGAGGAAGAACCGGGTGGATAGCTGTTTCCAATTGACCCCACCGAAGTACTGTCGATCAATGCAAAATTAGGGTTACATTGATATTCATAATTTATAGGGCTAATGGACTTTAATAACAATACCCTGCCAGTCGAATGAATTTATTATACAATGGGAGAACCAGAAAGATAATTTTTACCTGTTAAAGAAGTGCAAAGGTGATAATATGCCAAAAGGAGAGCCCACGGCCAGAAGAAGATCCCCCCTCTTGGGAATAGACGTTTGCAACTTTGGGAAATCCTGAGAGAAAAAAAATAAAAAAAATAAAATAAAAAATAAGTCACTACCAAAGATAGCACCGATATTTCACTAAAACTTGCCAAAATTGTGCGATTACAATGCCGAGTGGTCAAAAAATCATAGTACCAAAGATAATTTGGAGGGAATTGACAGAAGAGCAATCCTTGTAGCTGATTGCCCTATGAGGTCCAGATTGCTCGACTCCATTCTCACGGTGGACCAGTGGCTCGAAAAGGGTGATTCTTCCTCAACCTGAAATCATCAGTTGATAGTTCCTGTTACATAATACACCATATATGTAGTCAAATTTTGTTATGCATTTTCAGAAACAACGTCCAACTTTATCTTATATAATCGCATAAAAAATGAAACGCAATATTGCCAGATAAAAAAGTTTAAATAAGCAAAACCATAGCATATTTATTACAATAGATGAAATGGACGGTCGTGGTCAAAAGGCCTCATGACAATAGATGGCATGAATTAAATTTCAAACTCATTGGTCAAAAAGGCGAGTATTTATGGGCAGTTAACGAATTACGACCAACTGAAATCATTGATACAACCAGCATATACTAAAGTTAAACAGGAAATAAAAGATATGTGCATAATAAAGTTTATGCTTCAAACAAGGTTTTATGGGCTCAATGAGCGTTCAGAATAGAACAAGTTTAAAACATGGAGCAGCAAGAAAGAAAAAAAAATCACAGATATCATCCCATAAAGTAACTAGGAGAGACTTCGAGCAGCCATACAAAACCACCCTTTTTTTCGTTTACATGATAAGAAAAAACGGCAGGATGTGAATTCGAGAATAGAAATCATAGATTGAAATATGTTGAAATTAACCTGTGCACGAGAAGTGTCAATAATTTGCTGAGGACCACGACCATGTGCAGCTAGAGACCAACCAACTTCCCAACTACTATCCAGCGAACCACAAGAAGCTTCGATTAGTGATTGGACAGCAGCAGATGATTGGGGAATGTTAACCTTTGGACACATTCACAAAATCAATGTCAAGAACTTACGTGTAAAGCGAGAAAAGACCAAAACCGACTAATTCAGCAATCCTAGCTAATTCGCTAATAACTTACCATCTTCACAAATTCAGCCTGTATCCAAGGTAAAGCCTCCATACTGCCATCGGCCATAGATTTTCCCTAATCATCAAAAGACCACACACCATATCAGTGAACAAAACAGATTAAGGTAAATAATAATTTCTCCAGCAGCGAGGTATACCTCCATAAGTATATCAATTTGAACTCCTGGTATCAATCGTGATTCAGTCTGCAAGAATGAAGAAAATTAATGTTAACTTGTGCAAAACCCAATAATCTACAGACTTTAGTGAAATATTATTCCTTCTGCATGAGTATATAAATTCCAACCTCCACTTTGCTTTCTCGGTATTGTTGCAGCAAAAAAGGTTCAATCACAGAGGCAGCCGTCAAAACCAAAACAGGATCAGAAGATTTCGAATTCAAACCACTACCCAAAGTAGCACTTTCCTTAGAAGTCGGGAAAATCATCCCTGATGCTGAGAGCATTGTTTTGCCCGAGCTATGGAGATGCAAAAAATTGGATTCCATTACTTATTGAGTCATATTACTAATTCAACTTCAAGCTGTAACACGTGTAGATTTATATCATAGCAATTAGAGGTACCCCACATTCAAATGACCTTAAAGAGATTCTGTAATATACGATGAGATAATTTAAGAACTTATGTTGGTGTGAAGGGACTCACTTGTAATGGTGGAAAGCATGATTTCGCATTTTCAGACCCTTGGGGTCCTGAATTTAACCCCAACAAAAAGAACAATTAGCAAAAACATCTATACACTTCAACAACAAAACTAATTTCAAGAAACTTCAGTACAAATGTCAAAAGCAACCAAACATCAATTCAAGAAACGCCAAGAAACTAGAATTCGGAAGTCAGAAGCAAGAAAGCATCATCTCAAGATATTCAAAAAACTTGCCGGTAGGAATAAAAGTTGGAAAGTGAAAAAATCAAGGAAATTGACGCCAGAAAACATCTACGAGTACATGCTCCAAAATTTTAGTCTTGGATAACAAGAAAAGTAAATAACACACATAAACAAGCAAGAACATAATGAAAAACTCACGGGGCCTTGAACTCGGACCATTACAGCAAAATTGCGCGCGATATCTGCAACTTCAGGAAGACCCATGTCGAGAAGCTCAAAAGAGTCTACTGATGAAGTTGCGTATGCTCCTCGAACACTGCTACGCCCTCTTATCTTGGGATTTCAAACAGTCGATCAATCAATAATTCGATGTAAATTGCAAAAAGAAAACTACCTTACGCAGCCCTAGCATGATTCATAAACTGACAAGACAGAGATGGGTTTGGCAAAATCGCGATTCTCGAGGCATACCGGGGGCAGACGGTGGCTTGGGGTCCTCGCCAATCTTTATTTCTTGGAATCTTCTTTCCGTCTCACGTATATATTTTTTGCCCCATTGCCATTTGATGACTCCATATGATGTAAGAAACTGGAAGTTAAACGGTAGTTTGGTATTTATTTATACGGAAATGCTCCCACGGTGGACATATGTTAATATGCTCACCGCTTATCTGGCATGCACACGTTGATGAAATTTCTTTTTTTAAACTAGATTGTGACAAATATAAAACTGAAATTTTTTTTTTTTTTGAAAAACTGAAATTTCACATGCTAAGCTGTGTAAGGAGTTCTTCTTTTTATATATTTATATTTATATTATATAGAATAGTTAAAGTTGTATTAGAAGAAAGTAGAGTTTAAAATTTATATTCAATCGTATTTTCATCTAAAAAAATTATCCGACAAGACAAAAAAATATATTTTCAATGGCATTCTTATAATTTTTTCCTCCGAAAATTGTGTTGAAAGTTTTCACCAAATATTTCTTTTCATATTGAATTTATTGCCACAAAACAAATAAAATATGATTCTAAGATCATACATATTTTATTTTGAAAAAATTGTCTCGTATTCCGCTCAACAACACTCTTTTCATTTTCTATCTTTTTCTTTTCACTTTCCAAACTCAATGTTTTATATTTATTTTTTTTATTTTGAAACCATGTTTCTGTGTTAAATGTATCTTAGATTCTCGAATTGATTTATGATATAGTTTTTATTGCTTTCATTCTGATTTATCTTTCATTTATGAATTTCTTGTGCATATTTTTATTGTATGAGTAGATGGTCAATATTAATGCATATGTGATTGATTTGAGACCAAGAGAAGATAATTCATTGCTAGAATTGAGAAATTTATAACTTAAGAGAATAAACAGACGGAGGGGCTAATAGGATCTTACGAGAGAACAGAAATCCTAAGAATTTATGGAGTTAGTTGTTCATCTTGAGACCGAGATGAGATAGATAGCAATTAATATACGATTTAACTTGTTCGAGAAAAAATGTTAAATTAATTAAGCGATTATCTCTACGATGGGTAATATTAAACTAAGTTTGGTTGAATTCAAACGTTTCATGAATAAACTCCGAGGAACGCTTAGCCTAGAATCTATCTTTTATATCTTGATTTATTTTTATTTTTGTTAGATAAATTAGTTCTCCGTTTAATTTCTCAGTTTATTATCACCATCAAACTTCGTTACTCTAGATAATATTTAATCGTCATTATTTTAGTATTTAATTAATTTAACTAGAATTACTGTGAATACATTCTTGCTGGCCAGTACCTATAGGTACGTTGTCGACTTGCGGATAGCGAAAATAATTATAGAACAATTAGTAAGATCATGCATCTCGTTTAAGCTGGACTATGATAATTTGATTTTCACAAACTGAAGCCCTCATACCCAAACCATATCTTCCAGTTCTCTGCTCCTCTGTCAACTCGCCGCCGACCACCGTGACCTGAAGTTCGGCGTCTGGAGATCCATCGCCCTCGACTCAACATCGCCCTCGCCCGCTCTCTTTAGTTGTTGTCATCGCCTGAGTCGGGTTCGGCCAGATATCCACCGCCCGCGACAACCCGCTCCTCTTGCAGACCCCTATCCATTATCCACTGCTCTCGACGTGGTGACGCTGCCGTCCTTCACCACCTTGCTTCATCAACCACCTAATCACCCGGAGACCGGGCTTGTCGACGAGCAAAACGCTGGCGGTTGCATGCCCCTGCACCTGGAGAACGACAGGGGTCACACCAGAGGCATCAAGGAGTTGTTTATGTTGGTGGTGGCGGGTCTGTTGACGGGCCGACAGGGTAGGTGACGGTAGTGGCGAGCTGTGGCTGATGTGGGACTTGTATCGGCGGCGACGTGACCAGCAATGCTTCAGTTGGCGTTGTTGTTGATGGTCGGACGCGGTTTGAGGCTTTGAGTTTGTGTGTGTGTGTGTAATGTATGTGTGATGTGTGTTTATGTGTGTGTAAGAGAGATGGTAGATTAGTGACTTAATGGGGTTAGTGGTCGGACCTACGGTGGGGGTTTTAAAATGTCTGATTTACCCCTACTAAGTGAACAAAATGTTTACATTTGATCATAATATGTATAATTATTTATGAGATTGCCACATATGTATGACTAGCGCTTATTAAAATTTGACTTGATCATGACCGTGAATTTGATGGATCCAATGGTATAAATTCATTCTTCTTTCTTTCATTGTGCTCATTTCTCATTTGAACCGACTTGTGTGTGTGTGTGTATTTACTACAAAATGTTGTAGTTTCTCGTAAAAGAAAGATATTATTACTTAATAAGGAAGTATTTTTAATTCTTTTTTTCTATTTTCTTTTAGTAAATTTTTCTTTACCATCAATGGTGAGACTTTTATTTTTATTCTAGGTAATGTGATGTAAATAATTGATCTAAATTTAATAATTAAATTTAAAAAAAAAATATTTATTTCTTCCCAATCTATTGTTATTTTTAGTAATGTGATATCAATAATTTGAGATTAGCAATTATTTTTTTGAATAATTATGTCTAAAGTATTAATAAATTTATTAGTTAATATTGCATATTTAAACTGAATTTAAATTTATTATTTAATATTGATTAAAAAAAAGACTATAGTTCTTCATACAATAAAATATAAATGTATCTATAATAAAATAATCTACAATAGTAAGTGATATGCTTATTCCTATTGGTTTAAAAAATTAATGCTAGGAAAACATAAAACTATAAGTAATAGCTTATTTCGAGATCAAATAAATGCAATATTAAAATGATAAACCAACGAATCATTTTTCGCATTGTCATGTAAATTATTAGATTATAATAATTCAAAATATTTAAAACATATATTGTTATAAATTATGGTGACACAATGAGTCACATGTCGAATTATAATGACAAACCAACAAATCATCTGTTGAACTATGCATGTAAATTATTAACTTAGAAATGCAAAATAAAATATTTATAATGTGTATTTTTATAAATTATAATGATAAAAAAACAAGTCATCTGTCGAACAACAATGTAAATTGTTAGCTTAGAAGAAAACAGATCAAAATATCTATATTGTATATTATTATAGATTATAATGACAATTCAACCGATCTCAAACTATCATATGAATTATTAGACAAGAAAGAAAATTCAAACTTTTTATACTATACATTATTATAAATTCTAAAAAATAAATGTAGTTTTGATGCAATTACTAATTAGTATATTTTGTAACTTCGAAAATTATATAAACTACATTGTTTGTAAATTAAGTATCGATATATAATATTTGCCATAATTTTTTAACTTTACCATAACTTATTTAGAAATCGAAATAATATATTGTAATAAGAGATGCGTAAGAAAAAAAAAAAGACAATTACTTTTGTAACTATTATTTATTGATAACGTTTGAATATAAGTATACTTAGATACAAATATATCCGCTCAAAATTTATTTTTTTGGTTAACCAGAGTTAATTTGGAAAAATGTTATATGGTTAGTTGTTAGTGGGATTTTGAGTTTATTAAAATAATATTTAAAATAAAATAACTAAAGTTGATTTGATGTAAAAGTATGAGAGAGATGATGTGAATTGATGGTGAATTAAAATTATGTAAGTATATTAATAATTAATTAAAAATAATATGATGTATAAGAATGATTGAAAGATAATTATACTGGTAATATTGAGTATAGTGGAGTTGTGTTATAGTTGTGTTAGATTTTGAGCATAAATTGAGTTTATTTGTATCCAAACACTCCCTAAAATTTCATATTCAAATGATAAACAATAACACTAGAATGACAGTTATTTTATAACGGGTTAAATATATATACAAATTATATATTAAAGTATTATATATAACGAAAATAAAAGAAAATAAAATAAAAATTAATATTAATATCAAAATAATTTTTTCATATTAATCAATATTCATTTACTAATTTAATATATATGATTTACATTATTACCCCATGCACGGCACAGACTATGCGCTGGTTCTCTATAATACAACATAAAAAAAGGTAAAATATTTCATAATATAGAAATATATTATTATTACAAAGGTATGTGACCTGACTATCTAATTTTATGTTGATTCACATAAGATTTTGTGCTTCACCCTTTATTTTTTTTCTTTAAAAATTAATTTTTTAGAAAAAGAAAAACTCATGTGTGATTGGCCAAATCTATATACTTTCAATTCAAAACTTTTACCAAAAACAATGGTTTTAGCATTATTATAAACCAAAAAATCATTCTTACACTCCATATTTAATAATGCATGGATACAACATAAAAAATTTCCAGCTTTTGTCTCATATATAAAACTTATTTAATCTTTCATACGGCCTAATATAAATAAAAAGTAAAAATTGATAGCATTTCTGTAATATTAGTATTCGACCATGTGCATTTACATAGATATAAATAAAATATTATAAGTTATTTATATGCTTATAATATTAAAATTATAAGTTAGATAATGGTTTTAAATTTTAAAGATAGAGTATTATAAGTTATATTTATGCAAACAATATTAAAATTATATGTTAGATAATGGTATTGTGTTTTAAAATTTAATCATTGGTTAAAACAAATAATACGTAACTATATGATTGCATATGAATCACTATATCGATTGCATAAATGTAATAAATAATGTAATATTTGTAATTTTGAGATACCATGTCTAATTAACTTTTTAAAAAATATATAATTTATTATAACCATTGCTTATGTGATTTTAAGATATTTTACTATGACATTAAAATAAATTAATTTATTTAAAAAAACTTAATCAGATCATAAAATATAAATTTTTATGTTTATATAACCTTAATCAGATCATAAAAAAGCTTAATCAGATCATAAAATATAAATCAGATCATAAAATATAAATTTTAGAATAAATAACTTGAACAAAAAGTTTAACAATATAAATTTTTATGTTTATATAACCTTTATATAAGATTTAGTGTAAAATATAATTATTAATTCTAATAATAACTATTATATGATACGGTAAAAATCAATATAATCATTACTTAATAAAATGTAACGGGTTTTGTCTTGATTAACATAATTAAATTTGAAAAATTAGGATCCACGTAAATAAAATTTATAAGGTAAAATTTATGAGATTTTATTTAATAATGGCGGCCATTCCTTTCCTAGTCTGCAGTATTACACGACTAACTAAAGGCCAATTAGTACTTAAGTACCATACAATTGAACTTAAATAGTTTATATATATATATATGTTATATATTTTATATACATAAACAGTTACTATTTCATGTCTATATAGAGCTTTTATATTATAAATATTTGCTAAGTCTATATAGAGCTTTTATATTATAAATATTTGTTAAGCCCATTTGAATGTTATCACTCATGTAATGTCTAGCCATACGATACGAAGAGCTTTTATATATTCTACACACATCATACGAAAATAATAATAAAGTCTATAATAGCTTTTGAGAATTATAAAACATATCAGGCAACATTGATACTCAGGCTGTGTCTAAACACTAAACAGTCATCATACATACATGATATGATCATAGGTGTAATAAATAAAATTAGTTTTGATTGGTATTATTGGTAAGAGTGAGATAATTTAAATTTAAATATAGTTAATTGAGTGAAAATTTGAGTGAAATTTTTAAGTTGTATTTAGATAATATTTAAAATGTAATGATTAAAACTGATATGATATAAATGTAGAAATGATGTTATTGAAAATGATAGGTAATTAAAACTAACTAGTACGACACCCGTGTACTACACGGGTTGTTTGGTAAAAATAATATAAAATAATAAATAATAGAAAAAACACATGTTGTTGTATAAAAACAAAAATAGAAAATACTAAAATCAATATTATTTCAAATTTTGAATAGATAAATAAAATTGTAAACGCACCCGTGCGAAAATGATATTATTATTATTTTAAATATATATATTAATGAATATATAGGTTAATATATTGGTTAACATACACACACATATATATATATATATGTGATCAACATATATGTATGTTTAATATATATCTTTATCGTGTGATTAAAGTTGCCTGAACATATGTTCATTTGTATATTATTTTGTCATGTTGTTGTTTCGATTGTGATGAAAAAGTATCAAAAAAAGTTCAAACTTGATTCGACTCGGCTCATTTATACTTTTTAAGAATAATGATTAACATTTAGGAATCTAGTAAAGAAATAATAGGGCAAGATTTAGAAAATTTAACCCGTCCAATGGGAGAGAGAGAGAGGCATCCTCATTCATTAAAATTTCAATTATTATGAGCTTGCAAGGATGTTTTGTCAAAATCTAAGAGTCCAATCAAATCCAATTTATTTCGTACTATTAATTTTGATTGTGTAGCCCAAAAGGGATTTCAGTGAATTTTGGATAAGAATAGTGATAATTTTTTTTTTTAAGGAATTAAATATACTATGATAAGAATAAGAATCCTATTAGGAAGAAATAAGAATAAGAATTCTATTTAGAGTTGGAGTCTTCTTTATTTTGGAATATAATTGTATTAATTTTTATCCGAACCAAATACCGAAGCATGTAATGTTGCCAAGTAAGCTTCCGAAGCATGCGAGCCAGCCATTTAGACTCAGCGCGTTTTCAAATTATATTAAGGAGGGATGTAATGTGTGGTGATATTGATTGATATTATTTAATTATATTGATATGATAATATTAAAGAGAGTTAGTTGGATTGAGAATCTGAGATTGAGTTTGATATTTTAGACTAGTAATTGATCATGTGCGCATGCACAGAGGAAAACAAAAATTTTTATACTATATGCATGTATATAATACTTAAAAATTTAAATTAGATAAAATGCGTATTATATTTTAAAATTTTGACTATATGTAAATGTACTATAAATATAAATTATTTAATTTCCATATAAATTATTTTTTTTTCTGTTTTTCTTTGTTATTGTATATCTATAATACAAAATAGGAATATTAGCTGTAAAATAATTTAATATTATATATTCAGAAAATTTAAATTCTTGTAAAACTATTTCAGAATATTGAATTAATAATAATAAGATTTTAATTGTGTAAATGTCATTTGAATGCTGGTCATAAAGATTTTTATTAAATGAAGTCCTATTTTTATTAATTGCTAGCTGAATAGAATTTATTGAAGCTTGCCAGCAATTATATATATAGATACTTTTAATAACAAATATACATAAATGATTTAATTGCCAAGANTTTTTCCGGAACGATAGAGATATTATATAAAACGCACAAATGTGCAAAGAGCAGCCACAGCTGATTACAAACAGTCAACAGCTGAATACAAGCAGCCAATAGCTGAAAAAATGGAAGGACATGTCAAAAGACCGCCTAGTAATATGTATAATATTATATATATAATTGCTGCTCAACTGACTGTCTATAACTGCTGCTTAACTTACTGTCTATAACTGATGCTTACCTTACGAGAAGGACACTTGGCCTTCACGCTTGCGATAATCAACTGTAGGACCTAATCTGTATGGCATTGCTCATGCTTAGGCAAAACTAACTCTTATGTACTTTTAAAGTTGGAGCTTAACTCAGAGCTGTACTAGGGTCATTGATTCTAACTGGAGTTCGAAACACTTGGCTATAAAGAAAACTATCTCTAGGTCAATGCCCCTTGGGGAAGAGATATTCTAACATCATATATGTGTATTTTGATAGTAATATTCAAGGTAAATGTTAGTTTTTTAAATTATGTGATATGTAAATTAATAATTTTATTAAACTAAAATATGTTATTTTATCTTTCATGGGGTTCTTTTGTTGCTTTATGATTTATAGAATTTTCTTTTATCAGTGTACTGTAATACTCTAATAAATAATATAGTATGTTATGGTATTACGATTATATAAATTTTACAATCACATGATCTATCATTATATAAAAAGAATAATTTTTTTATACATTTAGAAAGTTTTTCCCGCCATAATCATTAAATACATCCTAGTTATAGTAATAGTTGGACAATTGTGAATAAGACAAAAAACGGCTCCTTAATTACAGTGTTTCCTTAATTCTAGCTTGCACAATTAAATCGGCGTGCAACAACACATCCGATTGGCATTTTTTTTAACCTTTCCCACAAAAATATCGGAATTTTTGTTTTACATCTAAATCTGTTTTTTTTTTCAACAAAAAATCCGCTAAAAGTTTAGATATTCATGTGTACAAATTAGTTACATATTGGATTCTTATTATGAATGAATTATGAAATTAAATAAAAATTTTATTAAATAATACTTTTTTGGACGGCATCAATATATATAAATTTATATAGATATTAAAAAAATACGACATTAATTGAAAACATTGTTTTTTTAAAATTGATTTACAACATTCATTGAAAAAGACTGTACAATATTTTCTTGGTGTGTACAAATTAAGTTGCTAAATAATTGGAAAGAATCCCACCTTGCTAAGAATTCGATTATCATGCAACTCTTCACAATATTTAGTTCGCATTTATCCGATGTAATACATCAATTAATTGGAAAGTAAGTTGCTAAATAATTGTAAAAAAAAAAAATACGACATTAATTAAAAAAAACATTGTTTTTTAAAATTGATTCACAACATTCATCGAAAAAAATTGTACAATATTTTCTTGGTGTGTACAAAGTAAGTTGCTAAATAATTGGAAAGAATCCCACCTTGCTAAGAATTTGAATATTTTATGCAACTCTTTACAATATATAGTCCGCATTTATCCGATGTAATACATCAATTAATTGAAAAGTAAGTTGCTAAATAATTGTACAGAATCCCATCTTGCTTTGAATTCAAATATTACAATTCTGAATAATTGGAAAGAGTCCCATATTGCATGGAATTCTCATATAAACTAAAACTTGAACAATATTTTATTCGTCTCCATCCCATTTTTCCTCTACATATAATGTGATTTCCGTATATCAAGATTTTTCTTAAAAATCTTAACAGATATTGATTCTACTCTACCAATTATAAATTATAAATCTCAAAATATTGAGTCATTCTAATATTTATAATTTGTGTAGATTTAATAATATATGATTGTTTCTTTGTCCAATACTATCTTATTGTACAATTTTCCTACGTATTATAAAACTTTTATTTAATATTGTATCTTATAATATAATATTCCCCAAATAAATATATCTCGTGCCTCGCACGGGTCATGTACTACATATATCCCGTATATTTTTCTTAGTTCATATATATAATTATAAGTCTGGATAAATAGCCTTAAAATTGTGCACCCCGTACATCGCACGGGCTCTGCACTAGTATATTAATATCACACAACACTATATATATAATTTGGTGTAATGGTGTAATATATGCTGATTGCATAGGTATTTGATAAAATTTTATCAATACATATAAGATTGACTGATATGAATATGATTTATGTAATGGAGCATTATAAATGCTATACTAGATCTATTCTGATAAACAAATACTTCTAATATTATATTAATCATATTATTTACAAATAGAATGAGATTATAATAATTTATAAATTAATTTATAATTAATAATTTTACAGATCCCATTAACATAGAATTATAAAATACCAAAAATTTTATAATTCTAATTAAGGATAGAAAGTTTGCAGTGAGCCTTATCGGTGGAGCTGAAAATTAAAATACGTGTCAAATCCAAAATTCGAAATTGCTAGTTTAATGCACATAAATCGTGAATGACGCCTCCATGTTTAATGGGACAAAACACTTGAAATTGTACAAAACCGTAGAGGAGTGAACTAGAGAGAACCTAACCCAGATCGCAAACAAACACAACAGAACACATTTTTCATTACATTTCCTTTCAAGCACTCGAACGAGGCCACAGTCAATTACCTCCCTCTCTTCGCTGACTCCGTCTCCCCACCACCTCACCACCGCCTCCACCGACCGCGGCCGTCGCCGAGACCTTCGCTGCCCATTCGGCTCAATGCCCTCCTCCCAGAAGCGCTCGCCGGAGACCGCCACTCCGCCTTCTTCTCCTCCGCCACCGCCCGAGGAAGAAAAACCCGATGATTCGCTCCAAGGCAGCGAGAATCACAACCAGAAGCTGAGCGACAGCGAGAAAGGTAGGTTTTTGTACGAGTGTACGGTATACGCGCATGCTGTATTTTGGTCGAACTGAATTCGTGTTCCGGTCACCGTTTGTATCTGAATTTGTTGATTTACGGTTATTTTACGTGTGTTTGCTTTTTCAGATTCGGAGGAGAGCTCTGAATTCAGCGATGAAGAAACTGAGGAGTACTCTTTTTTACTCATTATCTCTTTTTGTTTCTGTACTTTCTGCATATACGCGCGCACCTATGGTGGCGCACGCACACACACTCACGTACAGGCGCTCGGGCACACATATGAATGGATGTATGTATTTATTTATAATTCATTAGCGGTAAACTAGTGCTGCACGTTTATCCGGCAGCTCGATGGGTGGATGAGCTGCTCAAGATCTGCATGCTTGATTTTGCAGTACAATTTGTTTAGTTGAGGTCCAGTTGAGGCTTATTTCCTTATGATATGAGTAGATCTCTGGTGATTGGAATTGTTTATCTCTGGTTGCCTGGTTAAAAGCTGGTGAAATTTGATTCTTGAATTGCTTATGGCTTTGGTTTCTACTATTTAATTACTCGGTCATTGTATATGAAATGATTCGGAGATGTACTTAGAGGTGATCTGTTATTGTTGCATCTGTTTTTGGGTTATAATTTTCAGGCACGATTGCACGACTTCCATGCTCTCTTAGCTAGTGTCTTGCTATTATTATTTTGAATCCAGAA